GCTGTCGGCTGGCCAGCTCAAGGAGAACGGCGTAACGCTGCAGGACGATGGCGGAGAGACGCTGCTGGTGTCTTCTGCCCGCGATGTCCTTGGTCGAGCACGCTACTCCGGCAGAATTCTCTGCACCGACCTGCGCCCCTGCTCGACGAAGTCTACGACGACTTCGACGGAGGTTGTGGCTCTGCGGACGATCGCGCCAGCGACAAAGTTGACCCCGGACATGTTGCACGCGCGGCTTGCGCACGTCGGCGTCGACACGATCAAGAGCTCAGCGAAGAATGAGGTCGCTGCCGGTCTGGACATGAAGAAGTCGACCGCAGATGATCTGCCGTGTACCTCCTGCGTCGGCGGCAAGCTTGCACGGCACACCTTCCCCGACCAAGGATCGGACGCCGAGAACGCGCTCGATGTGGTGCACATCGACCTCTGCGGACCGTTTCGGGTGGCCGCCAACGATGGCAGCCTCTACTTTCTTTTGCTGAAAGATAGGAAGACTCGCTACGTGTGGGTGAGGCCTATTGCGAAGAAGAGCGACGTGCTGGTCGTCTTCGACAAATGGCTGAAGGAGGTGGAGCGGCAGACGTCGAAGACGGTGAAGAAGTTGCGTTCTGACCGCGGAGGTGAGTTCCTCGGTCGCGCCTTCACCGACCTCGTCGAGGACAAGGGAATCCTCCACAATCTGACGTGCCCCTACACTCCGCAACAGAACGGGATGGCAGAGCGGGAGATGCGTACGGTGGTCGAGGCCGTACGAACGATGCTTCTGCACATGGGCGTGAAGCATCACTGGTGGCACCTCGCTCTGCGACAGGCCGTCTGGGTGCGCAACTGCCTCGAGCGTGCTTCTCTGCCAAAGGGGACGACGCCGCATGAGCTTCTGTTCGAGAAGAAGCCGGACTTGACACTGGCGCGCGTGTGGGGCTGCATGGTGCAGTTCATGGTCCCCGAGCAGCGGCGCGGCGGGAAATTGGCGCCGAAGGCCCGTTGGGGTCTTCACCTCGGCGTGTCGGCAGAGAGCAAGGGCTGGGAGGTGCTCGACTTGACGGACAACAAAGTCGTCACGACGGTCGAAGCGATCTTCTACGAGACCCTGTCGATGGAGATGTGGAAGGTGGAGTACGGACCGGCGTCGACGAGGACGGTCTCTACCCCGCCGACCGATTCCTCCTCGGTGCACCCTCCACTGCTCGCTGCGGACGTCGAGCCTGATGAGGACGATGCAGACGACGTCACCCCCTCCCTCCCTCCCCCTGTGCAGGGATCCTCGTCGGCCGCCGGCGATGAGGGGAGACTCGGTGCGTCGCCTGCGGCGCCGACCGGTTGCATCGCCGGAGGCCGACGTGATGCCGAGAAGGTCAGCGACGGGAAGCGGCAGACGACAGGGGAGCCGTCGAAGAAGACCGCAGAGAAGCCATCGGCAGAGGCGCCGACCGCAGAGAAGCAGTCGGCAGAGGCGCCGACCGCAGAGAAGCTGTCGGCAGAGGCACCGACCTCAGGGGAGCAGTCGGCAGAGGAGCTGCCGACGGGGGAGCAGCTCGACGACGACTCGTCAAGCGACGTTGTGGAAGTCGTCGGTGCGGCCGGCGACGATGAATGGGAGCTATCGGCAGGAGAGCAGTCAGAGGACAGTGACGTGGTGGAGGTTCCGGTCGAAGAAGTGAAGCAGCGGCATTCTACCCGCTCCAACTTCGGCAAGCCGCCTGAGAAGCTGAGCTACCACGCTTGTGTTCCGCCGACGGCCTACAGCACTCTGCTCGACGATGCAGAGGACGACGTTGATCTGCCCGAGCTCGACCCCGACATGCACGCCGATCCAGAGCATTGCTGGGACATCGCCAACATGACGGTGAAGGAGGCATTGGCGAGCTGGAAGGGCAAGGCGGTGAAGGCCGCCATGGACGAGGAAATCAAGAGCCTTATCTCCAACGGAACATGGGAGGTGGTCGAGCGTCCGCGCGGTGTCAACGTGATGAAGAATCGTTGGGTACTTACAACGAAATACCACGTCGACGACACGGTCGCCCGGGAGAAAGCGCGTCTGGTGGTGAAGGGCTTCACGCAGATCTACGGCGCAGACTACGATGAAACGTACGCGTCGGTGGGGAGCTACGTAACTCTGCGGATCTTCCTCAGCATCGTAGCAGTCCTCGACCTGCACCTGATGCAGCTGGACATGAAAAACGCGTTTCTGCAGAGCAAGCTGGATCGCGTCCTCTACATGAACCAGCCCGACCACTACAACGACGGAACCGGTCGCGTCTGCAAGCTGCTGAAGAGCTTGTACGGACTGAAGCAGAGTCCACTGCTGTGGTACTCGGCGCTCGACGCGGTGCTGATCGATGCCGGTTGGAGCAAGAGCCAGGTAGACGAAGCGCTCTACTTCAAGGTCGGCGACGACGGAGTGACGTGCTGGGTGCTCGTCTACGTCGACGATCTGCTCGCCGCTAGCAGCAGCACTGCGATGCTGAAGGAGCTGAAGGAGCTGCTGGAGGCCGCCTTCGAGCTGCGCGAGATCAAGCCGGTCGAGAAGTATCTCGGGCTGGAAATCGTGCGCAACCGTCCTGCGCGGAAGCTGTGGCTTCACCAGCAAGTCTACGTCGACAAGCTGCGTCGTCGTTTCATCGACGAGGAGCAGCCCGGTCGAGTGCCGAAGACACCGGTCTCCGTCGACGCCTACGCAGAGCTGATGTTCGACGACGAAGAGTTTCAGTCGCGCGAGGAAGCAGAGTACCGGCAGAAGGTCGGCTCGCTGCAGTTCGCGGCCACCACGACGAGGCCCGACATTGCCTTCGCTTGCAGCAAGCTCGGATCTGGCCTGACAGTGCGGAGCAACAACCACTGGCGTGAGGTCGATCGCTGTCTGCACTACCTCGCTGAAACTCGTGACGCCGCTCTGGAGTTCGGCGGCGGACCAGAGTCGCTGTGTCTGGTCGGCTATGCAGATGCCGACGACGCTGGCGACAAGCAGAATCGGACGAGCACGGGCGGCTACGTTTTCGTATTCGGAGGAGCCGCAGTCTCTTGGGCGAGCCAGCGCATCAAATGCGCAACGCTCTCGTCGACCGAATCAGAGTACGTCGCGGCCACCGAAGCCGGCAAGGAGGCTCGCCGTCTGCGCTTCCTCCTTGCAGAGTTCCGTCTGCTCGATCCAAGGAAGCCGACTGTTCTGCACGTGGACAATCAGTCTGCGATCACTGTCGCAGAGGGCTTGGGGCTCAAGGGCAACCTCAAGCACATGGAGCGACGCTACGCATGGCTGCAGCAGATGGTGAAGCGCGGGAAGATTGCTCTGCAATACATCCCGACCACCGAGCAGCCGGCGGATTTTCTGACGAAGGCGCTGCATTTTCCGGCTTTCAACCGGTGCTCCGTCGCAATCGGCCAAGTGCGTTTGGCCGACGTGGGCGATGGGGATGACGAGGTGCAGCAGTAGGTGCCGTGCCCTTCTGCACGGCTGGTGCGGTGATCTACGTGCTATGTGTTGGGTGCACGTAGAAGGGAAATTTCTCCTTGTATTCTATCCCTCTGGGTTCTGGGTGGACCTTGTGTGTGGGTGCCCAAGCATGAGCTGAGCAGGGGAGTGTCGAAGAGAAAGGCCCCGCCCTCGCTTGGGCGCAGCCGATCTCGCCGTCAACGAGAAGTTCGCGACGGTTTGGTCGACGAAATGGGCTTCTACGTTTCGACGGAAGTTGCAGTGGAGCGATCTCTGCGCGACGAGCTCCCGTCGAAGAGCTCTGCTCGACGATCCTGGTCGAGGAACTCTGGTCGAAGAGTTCAGGTCGAGGAACTCTGGTCGAAGAGTTTGGGTCGAGGAGCTCTGCTCGGCGAACGCTGTTCGACCGAGCGATGTTGAGCTGATCGACCGAAGTTGCAGAATTGTGCGAAACTCTGCGGAGGCGTATGAACTTTCGCCCAGGAGATTTTGGCGAAGTTCTACCTGCGGAACGGCAGAACGTGCTCGACGGTGCGCACCTGGCGAAACCAACGACACGTTTTCTACCTGGCACCTGCGCAATGTGCCTGACGGTGAAACCGCCAACCTGCACCTACTTGGTAGGTGCGCACATCTGCGCAGATAGACAACCTGCGACTGCAGATAGTTACCTGCGACTGCAGATAGTCACCTGCGACTGCAGTGCTGGCAGACCGCGCGAAGTGCAACGTTGGCAGATCACTCTGCTGCAACGTTGGCAAGCCGCTCTTCCGCTGCGCTGGCAGACTTCGCCCTTGCTAGGTGTTGAATGCCATTCTAGTCATTCTCATTCTGCATGCCTCAATTGTACTTCCAACTTTTCATTGCAAGTTGTAACTTTCCTTAGTGGAATTCTTGCCAAACTTCTGTGTGAACACAAGCCAGTAGTAAGAACGTTAGCGCAGAGCTACGATCACTCGCACAACCCCGTGCCCTCCACCGTAGTCCACTCCCGTTGTGTAGTGACTCTCCGCACATCATTCACTCATACATCATTCACTCCTACATCATTCACTCATACATCATTCACTCATACATCATTCACTCATACATCATTCACTCATACATCATTCACTCATACATCATTCACTCATACATCATTCACTCATACATCAAGTGCTGCAACAGCAGCGCTCACCACACGTGGGGCAGCAGCAGTAGCAACTGTTGTAGTATCTTTGAATAAAAGGTGTACTTGCTATGCTAGCTCGGTTGACAGGTTGGACAGTTCCAACCGCAATCTGCGGTTGGGTCGCCAGCAATTATTGGAGACCGATGGTCAGAACGTTTCAATAACGTTGGTCAGAACGTTTCAATAACGATGGTCAGAACGTTTCAATAACGTTGGTCAGAACGTTTCAATAACGATGGTCAGAATGTTTCAATAACGTTGGTCAGAACCCAACCAGCCAGCAATGATTGAGCCTCCAATAACGCTGGCCAACCCAACCTAGGCCATCCATGACTCTACCTATGTATACCTCCGCTCACTTGACCTCAATCAATGTACTTCTTCTCTTCACGACACTCACCGGCACATGGGGCAGCAGCTCTCTTGCAGCGAGCTGGGTGGCATCGAGGGCGCGGTGGATGATGGACTTGGCCATGGGCATGTAGGGGGGTGAGCCACCCTTGCTTGCCACACAAACACTCTCTCACTCACCGGCACATGAGGCAGCAGCTCCCTGGCAGCGAGCTGCGTGGCATCGAGGGCGCGGACGAGGGACTTGGCCATGGGCATGTAGATGGGCCACTCGGGCGTGCTGGGGTCGTGCAGTGCCATGCCCAGTGTGACTGGCGGAGGAGGTGCGCGGAGGGGGGAGGGGAGGAGAAGGGGAAGGAGGGTGAGGGGAGAGGGGCGGGAATGGGCGAGGGAAGGAGGGTGAAAGTCTTGGCAACCACTGGTCTCCTCATATGCACTCGTCTCCCCACATGCACTCATCTCCCCACATGCACTCATCTCCCCACATGCACTCATCTCCAGCGCTACCAGCTAGCGCTGACGACAGCCAGCGCCACGCCAGCTGCTGCTGACGCCAGCCAGCGCCACGCTCTAACTGACTCGTTCACGAGCTGCCATCTCCTCAATTCTTGAGTTGCTCTGCTGCACCTGACGCTAGCCACAAGGCAGGCACCACCAGTACAGGCGCCTTGCTTCTAGAGTCAGCTGGGCACACTATAGGCTTGCTAGCACAGGCTGCAGTGCTCTTGGCTTCAGCTGTGCTGCTGGTGCCAGCGGGAATAGGACTCGCTATAGGCCGACTCGCTTACAGGCTGTGATCTCCTCCTCTAGCAGCTCTTGGCTCATGCTGCTGGTGCCAGCGGGAATAGGACTCGCTATAGGCCGACTCGCTTACAGGCTGTGATCTCCTCCTCTAGCAGCTCTTGGCTCATGCTGCGGGTGACGCCAGGCGGGGAGACGTGGAAGGTGATGGGCATCATGGGCTGCTGGTGCAGCATGACGCCCAGCATGCCCAGATCCACCACCAGCCTGCATGTGAGGGAAGATGGTGAGATGGATGGAGGGGAAGGAGGGGGGGGAGAGAAGGAGGATGCATTTTGCACAAGGTATGGTATGGGCATCATGGGCTGCTGGTGCGGCATGACGCCCAGCACGCCCAGATCCACCACCAGCCTGCAGCGGGGGGATAATGGTCATAGCAGAGTGGCAGAGGAGCCAGGCAGGCATAACACGGTGGGGGAAGGGGGGAGGGGAGAAGGGCGGGGGCTGACGGGAGGATGGGCGATGGGAAGGGGGGATGCACGGGGCACAGTGACTGATGCAATGGTTTACAAGCCTTACGCCCCTCCCACTCACGCCCCTCCCACTCACGCACTCACACCCCTGCAACGTGGGTGAAAACACGAACCCTCAGTCCACGCACGCCCCTGTCTGCCACTCACGGGGCAGCGACGCGGATGACCACGTCAGCCTGCTTGGGGATGTGGTAGCGCCGACCGTCCCTGCTGTGATCGCTCCACCTCTTAGCACCTGCTGTGATCGCTCCACCTCTTAGCACCTGCTGTGATCGCTCCACCTCTTAGCACCTGCTGTGATCGCTCCACCTCTTAGCACCTGCTGTGATCGCTCCACCTCTTAGCACCTGCTGCTCCCACCCACGCCCCTCCCACTCACACCCTTTCCACTCACGCCCCTCCCACTCACGCCCACCTGCAACGTGGGTGAAAGCACGTGCCCTCGCTGCACTCACGCCCCTCCCACCCCGTTCACGCCCCTCTCACCCCGTTCACACCCCTCTCACCCCGTTCACGACCCGCCTTCCCACTCACGGGGCAGCAACGCGGATGAAGACATCAGTGTCTTTGGGGATGTGGTAGCTGCGGTCGTCCCTGCCGTGGTCGTTCCACCCCGCCCCAACGAAGAACAGCACCAACCCCTTGCTGGCGCTCGCCATGTTGTCTGGCGCCTAGGAGGGCGGGCGAGAGTATAGATGAGGAGCACCAGATATGCATTGAACACGAGACCCTTGCTGGCCCTTGCTGGCCCTTGACCAAGAGAAGCACAAGAGAATGAAGAAGAGCACGTTGCTGGCGCTCGTCATGTTGTCTCTCGCAGCTGGAAGCGCGGCTGAGAGGAAGGATGGATGGATGGATGGATGGATGGATGGATGGATGGATGGATGGATGGATGGATGGATGGATGGATGGATGGATGGATGGATGGATGGATGGATGGATGGATGGATGGATGGATGGATGGATGGATGGATGGATGGATGGATGGATGGATGGATGGATGGATGGATGGGTGGATGGATGGATGGATGGATGGATGGATGGATGGATGGACGGACGGACGGACGGACGGACGGACGGACGGACGGACGGATGGATGGATGGATGGATGGATGGATGGATGGATGGATGGATGAATGGATGGATGGATGGATGGACGGAGGGACGGAGGGACGGATGGACGGAGGGACGGAGGGACGGAGGGAAGGAGGGACGGAGGGACGGAGGGACGGAGGGACGGAGGGACGGAGGGACGAAGGGACGGAGGGACGGACGGACGGACGGACGGACGGACGGACGGACGGACGGACGGACGGACGGACGGACGGACGGACGGGCGGACGGATGGATGGATGGATGGGTAGAGAAGCACAAGACAAGGCAACAGCACCCACACCACAACAAACGACAGACACGCACACCGCAGCCATCCAGGTCAATTGTAGACAACTGTGCCCCGTTTTCCAGAACCATTTGAAACTAATTCATGTACAGAGCTGACTCTTGAGTCGACTCTTAAGTGTAGTGCCTCCTCCCACCAGCCATTGAGGGTAAATGATGTAGTTTAATATTCAAATGCCAGTGCTCACAATAAGAGTCAGGTGGTGCCACCAGAAGAATCAGTTAGTAACGGATTGGTTGAGCCAGCGGTGGGCGTTCACCAGCAGAACATACCCCGTCCACCACCCTCCAGGCTCCTTGGGCTTTTCAAACACTATCTGAATGAACCTCATGCACTGCTTGCTCACAATGAGAGTGAGGTGGTGCCACCAGAAGGATCGGTTGGTAACGGATTGGTTCAGCCAGCGGTGGGTGTTCACCAGCAGCACATACCCCGTCCACCACCCCCCCGGCTCCTTGGCTCGCATGCGATTGCCCGTGTCCTTCCACCTGGCAGCAGCAGAAGCAGATGGAAAAAACCAAACCAAACCAACAGCATAGATGGGATGGGTTGGTGAGTGAGAGTGACAGTGGTGTTGAGTTGAGCCGTCGGTGTGTGGGGGGGGGGGTTAGAGGAGGGCACAAGAACACCTAGCCACACGCAGATCGTTGGAGATAGAATCGGGTATACGAGACTCAAAGGCAGTTTCGGGATCAGTGCTCACATTCCCCGTCCTCCACCCCTCCCTCCAGCCTTCTTCGCCTGCAGACGGTTACCCGGTTACACACGTGTCCATGTGTCTTTCCATTCGGGTGAATAACACAGCCCGTGACTGAGGACTTGCAGGAGTGGAAGCACACGAGCTACACCATACCTTCTGCAACACGCGCTATGAAGAGGTGATTCAAATGTGCAGGTTGTCGAGTCGTGTTTATAACGAGGGTGCACGATGAATCCAAGGGACTTTGGTCCACTGTCCAAGGGACTCACCCGAATTCCGCATCCGCGGTATAGACATATCTATCCAGCAGTGTACCGTGACAGTTCCTCGCCGTCTCGCAGCCGCTTTGCGGGAAAGGGGGCGACCCAGATGATTGTGAGGAGTCCGAGGAGAGCAGGCTGGGTCGCAGCTCGAAGATCGCCAAGTAAGCGACGGTCAGCGCGACGGCGACAGGCAGAATGCGACGAGTGAGAGCCGCCTGGAGTCGCCTGACGACGACACCAGTGTTTGACGCGTGCGTACGCGACATAATGAGCTTCGCTAACGGATCGTGAACGCTTCTGAAGAACTGCTTCAGTCAGCTGGCTCACACTAAGAACCTCCGTACGTCGTTCTTGCTAAGAACCAAGATGCATTGTTCATTGTCGATCTCCGGCCGACTCCATTGCTTCGGTCGGATGCAACAACGAAAGCCACGACTTGACGTTTCAGTCGATCGAGGTTCCCGAGCAATACATGGTTTCTGGTTGTGAAACTGGGTGCTGAAACGGACGCATTCAACAGCTGCTTCGATTGCAGAATAACGAGGAAGCAGGGGGTGCACGACAGCGAACAACAATCCTATGCTAAGTTGTGTCCAAAATTACCCGTATTCTCCCGTACATAGTACATAAGACCCCGCGGAAAGGTCTCCCAGGTATTTTGGCAGGTTTTTTTGAAGACCCCCCTTTTGCTATTGATATTTTAAGCACCCCCTTTTGCTGTATACAGTATATTACGATACCCTGTGCGTCAGCCTTTAGAGTGAACATAATCGAATTCTGACGCGGTTTTTGTGTCAGACTCGAAATCTGACACATCCACAAACGTGTCAGAGATTCGATTTGACGCGCCGGTCGCACGACCTGTACACAAATCGGTGGTTTTCATCGTTACGGATACAAGGGCCCTGATCGGTAGCACCCTTTTTGTGTCGACATGTGTGTCTCAATCCCCTTTTTCCCGAGTCGCGCCTGTACATTTGCACATTCTCGCGTCACAAAAAACGGATGTACCTCGACACTGTGCGACACATAGAGGTGTACATTTGGCGGCATTTTATTGGGCGACCCAAATTGACTCGATCCTTGACGTTTTGGCGCCGGACACACTGGGTCACCCAGTGTGCATGAAACGGCTTCCACAACTCTAGGCACAGTAACCCATCTTGCAAATGATGCGCCACGAGTTGGTGAAACATCAACACACACAGAGCCCCGCCAATTGCACTAGTACAAGTACAACAGCATTTCAAAGCAAACATAGCACCGCCTGTGCACATTGCAACTATGGCAGAGCCTCGTGCTGTGCCCTTCCTCATGCGACTCCTAGTCGCATGGATCACGTTCTACTACAACATCTTCATGCACGTGGTCGCTAGAGGGGTAGGCGGCTTGTTGGAGTCCAACGTCTTCGAGGAGGACGTATCGTCTACCGCTAGCTCATACGGCTCCAACAGGACGGCCGAGTGCGAGAGAAGGGGAAGCTTGCGCCGTCGCCGTTACTAGTTGTTGCTGGAGGACCTGTAGGGAATGGGGGACGGAGAGTTCAGAGACATATTCAGGATTAACCGGGCAATATTGGAGTACATCGTCGACGGCATGCAATACTACCTGCAGCCATACGTGGAGCGGTACTTCATCACCCACGAGGTTGCAAACCTGGTCGCGATAAAATACTTGGCGAGTGCACCGTCGTACGTAGATATGTCTCACCTCTTCGGCTTGTCGAAGACCCTATGCCATGCGCTCGTCGACGTCTGGCTGATGCACTTCGCGACGGTCTTCAAACAGCAGTGGGTTCACTTCCCCACCCGCGACGACCTTGATGAGATGGCCGAGGAGTTTCGCGCCGTGAAAGGGGTACCTGCGGTAGTGGGGGCTATAGACGGGACGCACGTACACATGAAAGGGATGGAGGGGCACAGGCAAGAGTACTACACACGGAAGTCGTGTTACGTCGTACAGTTGCAGTTGACGTGTGACGCACGCGGCATCATTTGGGACTAACTGATCGGGTACCCGGGGAGTGCACACGACCAACGCGTGTTCATGAACAGTGCGTTACAGGAAAGGTTGCACAACGGCGACATAGCGCCTTATCAAATAGTCGGAGATGCGGCCTACCCACTGAGGGATTTCTACCTGACCCCCCTACATGCACCCCGTGAAGGCCTAATGGAAGACTGGGAGCAGTGCTTCAACTACTGCTAAAGCGCAACGCGCATGGCGGTAGAGCGCTGCATCGGCGCCTTCAAAGGCAGGTGGAGGCTCTTCGCAGGCCGCAACGACTGCAAGCTGTGGCGCGTGCTTGCAGGGGCGTCGTGTTGTGTCGTCCTGCACCACATGTGTGAAACGATGGGGGAGGTGAGGCGCGTCAACGCGGCGTGGGCAAAGTTGCCTCGGAACCGGGGCCCATGGTGGACCCGTGGCGCCGTCGCCGATTTCAAATGGGAGCCTGTCGTGCCATGCAATCAGGGAACATTGCGTGAAAGGCGGAAGAGGCTCGGGGAGGCATTGGAGTCGTCGTACCTTACTCGGCGTCGCCGCGAACCCACACCTCATCGACCTCATCTGGGTTAGCGTGGTCCTTGCCGGACTGTTCGCGCTGGAACCATCCTTCGTCACCGCCTTCGGCGACGTTCGTTGCGGGCTGGGTGTCCGCCTCTTCGGGGACGACGTTGGGAGTCGGCGGGGCAGGGACCGGACCCTGGTTGCGTCCGCACGCAATTTCCGCGTCTTGCTGCATCCATGCGCGGACGAGGCCCTCCAGCTTGGTCATCGCGTCCACGTGGCATCCCTTGATGGTCTCACAGACCAGCTTGGCAGCAGCCATGGTAGCCGTCTCTGCAACACGCGGGTGCTTAGAAGGTGGGGTGCTCGGCGGAGGGGGGGCTGCACACGCACGAACGGGTAGTTAAATATCTTTGGCGAAATGACCTTGTTGTTAACTATAACAATAATAACGCGTGAAGAAATGGCCACATCAATTTTAATAACCAAACATTGAATCTAAGGAGAGCATAACGCGTGACCTCACCCGTGAACGTCGGAGTAGAGTTGCATGGAGCGGACGTTGACGGCACCGAGAAACCGCACGGCACATTCACGTGTGTGGCCCCGCCGCCATCCACGGCATGCGGCTCAGCGACGGCACGGTTGTTCTGAAATAGTTCCATGTACGGCCACCACGACGACTTACACACCGAACCCTTACCGGACGCCTTCTCCCCCTGCTTCATCTGCTTGTAGATGCAGTCGAGGTTGCGCCACTTCTTCTGCACGGCGTTCACGCCACGAACCCACCCAGTGTTCTCCGTCTCGATGTGACGAACAAGGCGGGCCCAATACTGCGAGCCCTGCTTCCCTAGCAGAGGTTCGAGCTCGTCCTTCATGAACCAGCGCGCGACAACGAGGATCGTGTGTCCAGCGGCGACCACACGCTGCGCTTCACTGGGATGTGGTCGCGGGTCTTTGGAGCGCGGCGAGTTGGCTCCCCGCCCTTGGCGGCGGTCTTGACGCCAGATGCCGCCTTAGCACGACCGCGGCGAGCTGCCGGTGCCGCGGGCTGCGATTCATCCGGGGCGTCGTCGTCGTCACCCTCCGCATCGTCACCGTCTGCGACGTCCTCCGAGTCAGACATGCCCTTGTCCTCCTCCTTTCCCGAGTCCGCCTCGTCGTCGGTGCCGACGGCGTCCTCGTTATAGTCGGAGTCGTCGTCGTCACCGTACTTGTTAACTTCGGGGCTGCGCGATGATGCCACACGGTCCGCGTCACGGCGGCCGCGCGTGGGGACGTCACGAGGGGCTTGGTAAGAAGTGTCTCCACGCGAAGGAGTTCCTTCGGGCTGCGGGCCCCCGGGCTTGCGTCCCGCGGCGAGCTGCTTGTTCATCCAAGAAATATATAGGATCTTGTGAAAATAAAAGTGAGGAATGGATGAACTAGCAAGCAGGTGGGTACAAGTAGGAAAACCTAGAAGTGTTGTACCCCATATGAACTACCCCACTACAGCCTACACAGACTATAGCATATAAGTTTGACACACCCCCATAGGCAAAGTGGGGGAGAACA